GTAACGACTCGGACCAATACAGTTTAGCATAACCAGGCCATTTAGTGCTCCACGAGGGGCCGCCGCGTGAGCTCTGGTCCCCATTGTCATTGCTTGTCTCTGCCTGGAGTGTCCTTTCTGTGGAGTGTTTTTTTGCAGGCGGATATTTTCAGCCACAAAAGCTAACTTTGTCACTATACAAAGTGACTCCTAGAATTCCCAAGAGAAAACTCATTTAATCCCAACTTGATCCAGGAATGAAAACAATTGTCAGACTGGGCAGCTTTGGGGATAAATCTGGAGGGCTGACCTTTCCTAAATGTCATGAGTGGGTCGTTTTTGATGCCAATGTTACCTGAAACTGGGAGTGAAATGATGCATATATTTGTTCATCACCCACTAGTTTTTCTTTTTAACACAGCTTTGTCGCTACTGGCTTTTTAATGTGTAAATCACTTTGCAATTATTTGCACATGTGTGAAAAATGAACTTGTTATTTTGGTCAAAACCACAGGGAGACACTTTGGCAGCCATATTTAAATGCTTTGAATCATTTACACCTCATTTTCTCTCTCTCTCTTTCTCTCAGGCGGCGTTCGACAGACTCGGTGGTGGACAACAATGACTAAACTTTAAAACTGAGCGAAAGCAACATTTGAGAAAATTCCAATGTGTGGCCTGCTGAAGTAACTCAAGAAGGTGAGACACTCAGACAAAGAAATCTCAACTACGTGATAAGCAGGTTTAATAAAAAGATCAAATATCGTTATGTGGATAGTTTCAGTTGTACATGTTCCATATTGGCCTTTGTTGGATCAACACAAAAAGTACATCTGCTGGAAGCGGCATTGAAGGATGAGGACAAATTTCCCAACGGGTAGAATACAGTGTACCTAAACCTTAAAAGACTTTTAGCCAAGAGACAGAGACAAGTTCTGTAAGTTTAGAAAGCAACACACCGCCCACACTCATTACAAACTGAAGCAGCATGGGAGGAGGTACAGGACTCCCCTGTGTAAAAACAACTGGTTTAAAAACGTTTATTCCCAAGTCCATAAAGCTGAGTGGAGCGAATGCAAATATGTGTCAGCCTGTGATTGAACAAGTATATATAATATGTATAATGTCCTCTGTGTGCCTTATGTTCTGTCCATATGTGGTATTACCCTCTGCTCCAAGGCATGTTCCTAACTTTGGGAGATGAATTAATAAATTAAACGGAAACAGCAGCCACTGTTATTTTACTAGTCAAATACAAATCTTCGGCAACAACCGTGTCCCATCAAACCCCCTCTGCAAACATACGTCCATTCCTGGTTAACCTATCCTCACACATCGGCTTCTCAACCCCAACAATAACCACCCGTCACTTTAGCTACATGTCCTCGAATATAAAATATCATGTTTGCAAACAGTGGTCCAAATGGAAAAGTTAAATACTGATAATATCCGTGCTCATAGCCAAACATGTAAATACCTTTTAGTTAAAGAAAATCTTTGAGTCTTTTATAAATCATAAATATAGATTGAATTTGCTTCCGCAAGAAAACAAATATCGAATGTGTCATTTGGACGTGTGAGAAATGTGTTCGCGAGTGATTGAGATGATTGTTGGTTTGACCAGTCTGGATTGAAGCGCTGCGGGGAAATCATTAGGTGCGTAGCCTTGCATGCCGACCTGTTTATAGCTTGAATTACATTTGATTGTGTGCTCTTGCATTAAATCACAGACTGGGACTAGAACCAGGGCACATGATTGTGTCTGTTATTATAGAGACACAGTAAAGGGGGAAAGGACAAAGTTGCGTTTTCTGACTGTTTCAGTCATCGTATTCTAACAACAGTATTATAGGGTTCTGCTGGTTCATTTGTGTCTATACCAATTTGAAGCACATTCTAATATATTATTGTCTTTTATCATGTGCTGAAACTAGAATAAAAATATAAAATAGGCCAAAATATTAGATGTACAAAGTGCTCAGTAAACAAAAGGGTCTTACCGTGTGTTTGGTGGCACCAGTGCAGAGACTATGGGGTGTGCTGTCAGCTCCAGGCCCAGTGTCCAGCGTTCCACGCAAAGACTGTGAACAGATCAGGACAGTTTAGACATGGTTAATTAGAAAGATGTCATCATCAATGTAAACTAATCCACTATTCATTAGGCATTAGGGATATTCAAATTACAAACAAACCAAAGCAGGCAAACAAGAAAATCTTTAAACTACTAAGCTCAGCCTCAAAAACCAATACACACAACTTTTTTGCTTTACCCAAAATTGAGAATTGCAGACAGTGTCAGCAAAAGTGTAATGATTTTACACAATGGATTGACAAATAAAATGAAGCAGAGGTGAAGACACAATTTCATGGAAAAATATTTTTTTTTTAAATCACAATTTAATGAAAACAAAACAAAAAGTAACTCCAATCAGCTCCTAGTATGTAAACGATCCAATGTTTTCTAATAAGAAAAGTACAGCAGCTAGAGTCAGATTTTCTTTTTACAAAATTAGACTCACGCAGACCGGTCCCTGGACTCATGAGTGTATAAAGTGTGTGGTGACGGGTTTACAGTTTAAAACAACAGGTCACTGCCTACACAGTTACCATGACACCCCTGGTCAGAAGTTTTGCACATTTTGAGAAAGGACTGTTAGGAGGAAGGCTTGTTGCTGAGTTCATCTGCCCCAGCAGTGATCTCGCTGTTTCTCCACACACAAAAGCAAACAATACCAGTGCCCATACACACACATACTATCGCAGTATTTCGGTTTCCTACGGCACTCTAAATTATACCGTTATTACCACAAAAGGTATTGCGACAAATTTGTTACAACGGAAACAATGCAAACGATTAACGCCATCAGTTTCCCAGCCCTAGTAGTATAACACCAACTTCCTGTTTATACTGTACCACTTTCTATCAAACAGACAAGACCAAATAAAAGTACAGTTCATTAGATTTTAAGAAATGATAATTTATTTTAAAAAATATATTTAAAAAAAATATTTGAATAGCTTAGTTGTAACTGTGACTTGTTATATAACAAGGTAAAAACATAATGGTTCAACAAAGTTCATAAATTATAATACCTGAAAGGGTTTTTGTAAAAGTACTTGTATTACCTCCACTCCCAAAGTGGGCTATTGTGTTAGACAGAATTTGTCTCTTCGTTCGATGGCTCGAAAGAAACATTGTGCAGAAATGTATAAGAGAATTTGGAGGAAAACAAATCTCCCAGATGTGGCCTCTGGTTCTGAGGCTATCTGCTCACTCTCCTGTTCACAGGAATATCCTGCAGACAGGATTCATCTGTGCCTTCATTTCACTCTCTGGAGTTATCAGGATCACTGTTTTTACACATGAGACTTTAACTTCTTTCACCACACTCATGCCGTGTTTTTTGCTGACTGCCTTGTGAATTTCATTTGAAAAGCAGATTTAGTGCAAAATGCACAAAAATCCTCTAATCTATCTCCAGGCAGAGGGCAGACCCCTTCCAGGTGGCTCGCCAAAGGATTTAGAAATGAATAAAATCAAATAATATACTTAATATTTCAGAGTGTATTATTCATTAGCAATATTTATTAGTGTAAAAGCTCTTACTTTGTCACTAGTAACACATTTGCGATGATAAATAATGACTGTACCCAATATCAGGCTCGTTCACACAAATATATCACCACATTTTTCCTATGCGGCTAATTAAAGGAGTAGCTCTCTGCCTTTATCGTCCCGGGAAAGTAGCTCTCTGAGTGAAAAAAGTTGGAGAACCTGCACGACACTAATGAACACCCTACAGCTCAAGTGAGTCAGTAAATGAGCATTCTTAAACAATAATAACTACAGTTTGTATACTATGTAGAAAGGTACATTAATAATAATTAATAATAATAATAAGTACATTATGTAAAGTAACATTGTAAATTATGATATAAACATATTCAACATATATTTAATAACATAAATAACATAAACATATGATTTGTGAAGGTGGAAACAAAATAAATTTAAATGGTCATTAGTTTTCCTACAACTAGTATAGCTCACCTCAATGAGCTCAATATTTAGTACTCAATATTTAGTGGTCCTGACAAAGGTTGACTGTAATTTTGTGTGACAAGAGTGAAAACACTGTGGTGAATGGTGCCAACACAAATTCCAGAGAGCACATGGGGGTTGAGGCCTGAGCCACAAAAAGCCCAGTGCTGCACAGGAGTTATATCGCACATGCTAAAGATTTAAGTTCAATCACGCATTGAGGGCCGGACACCTGATCTTTCACTTAAAGCCGCAGCCGAACAGTGGGAGAGTGGTCGGGCCTCCCAGCAGGGCCTCGTACCTCCAGCGCTGTGCCTCTGAAGAGCTGCTATTTTTCCAGGCTGCATGGCTCTGCTGGGACTACCGTGCGTGTGGCAGGTAGGCCCCAGTGGATCTGGGGTAGATGGATAGCTGGGAAGATTTAGGGCCTTTCTGCTTTTAGAGCTATCAATCTCACTTCAAAATGGAAGGCAGTCTTCAGCTTTAAGGCTTAAAGTGGATTGACGGCACAAATATACTCTTATATGTAAGGTGTGTTCTGAAATGCTCACAAAAAGTTCACATCATAATTAATTAACTGCTAAGCTCTTTCCTTTACAGAGCTCCTATTCTACTAAAATCCAACCCAAAATAGAATTGTCTATCTTTTTCTTTTTTTTAAAATGGTATATACTAAGAGTGTGTGTGGAGTCAAGGCATAGAACTGTAGCAGTCACCCAGTTGGTGTCTAACTTTAGAAAGTTGTATGTTATTTTAAAGGAAATCCTGGTAGTATTGTTTATTTAACTATTGTATAAACACTGGGCTAAAACTTTCTAAACACTGCCGCTAATGATATTAAAGGTAAGCTTAAAAGCCCAAGTAAACGGAAATGACTTAAGGATGTAGGTTCAGTTTCAGAGCAAAACAACCCCCTTGGACCATGGGAGAGTTGGCGGGGTGTGTTTCTTAGGTTTCTTTCTGCTACAAAGAAAACATTTTAGTTTCTTGGTAATCCTTCCCGAGCCGTCCCTAAGCTCCGGGGCCCTTCCTCCCTCTGGCCATCCCTCCGGCCCAGGTCGGAGATGCTTGCCTCCCAGTCCTGTATCATACGCGCACATTATGGAGAGTGTTTTCAGAGCGCCCATGACCCCTGAGGGACCCGGCTGACCTTCCTGTTGACGTCAAAGTGAATGAGGGTCGGAGCGGAGAGGGGCTCCATCCAGGGGGCTGGAGGTCTAATCACCACACTCCTCACAAAAGCCACAGAGGAAATGTTAGCATTCCACAATGACTTGCTTGGAAACTTACACAAGCAGAGAATGAGGCAACGAGGAAGGATCAAAATGACTCTGTGTTTACTTTTATGCAGATGACAATGGAGTGAACTGTAGTCGATAACTGTGTGGTATGATGTGCTCATTTGGTATGTTGATGACAGGGCTACTGAGGGGAAAATACTATATACTAATGACTAATTACAGAGTATGTCTGACTCAGTAAGTGCTTAGGTTCATATTATCTGAAAAGTGGAGCTGTAATTGAAATGGTAACAATAATTGGCAGCCAAGTATAACACGAGTTAACAAGGCTAACACTGGAAAGGCCTCTGCCGGGGTTCTCTTGCAAATTGTTTTTTTTTTTTAAACAACCATGAAATAAAACATCCCACAAAACAAGTTATTATTGTTTAGTTGTCTTTATTAATAACCTAAAAAAACAGCATATTTTATGCTCCGTTTATAGTTAAAACTGGGAAGTTGAGATAATTTATTAAATGATTTCAAGATACTCTTAAGATGATGTTTAAGGCTTAGAGATATGATTTTAGTGATTCTGTTACTGTTAGTACTAGTTAAGTTAACTAGTTTCAACCGAACATACAGTGCAACTACAGCCTAAGTTTTGGGGGTGTTTTTCTCCAACACAAGTGTTGAATGATATGACTCAGAGAGAGCTGGTCCCTAGATAAGTTGTTGAGCCTCGGGCAATTTTTATTGTTGCAGTGTGTACAACATTTGCTCATATCAATAATGGGATATGCTCCAGTGCATCCAGCGAATCCAGGGAGGGACTACAGTCTTATTTGACTCATTGGATTGCACCATTCACACAGGCGCTGGAACAGGTGTAGTGGAGATGCACACATCATTGAATATTCACAGTTTCTGCCTAAACGGCCCAGGCTGATCATATGGAGGGGTCCACCGAGACACTGCGAACTCCAGATGGTCATCTTTAAGATTCCCAAATCCTCCACTTTCCTCTGGCAGCAGCTCCAGGGTCAAGGTGTGAAGGGAGGAGCAAAAGACCCGTTTCCCACAATCCCCACGCAGCCATAGCCCCCCAGCTGTTCCCGGGCTTCCATAACAACAGCTGCGCAGAGGTTTAGTGGTCCACGTCTCCATGACAACCACGGGATCAATTGGCATGCACAGAGTCGGTGTGCTAATAGCCAAAGTGACATTAAAACATAATTTCATTTCAATAAAATGCACACAGGTTTTTTATGGCGGAGAGATTTGGCGGAGACATAAAACGGAAGGAAAATAATTAATTTCACATAATAATGCCAGTGGCTTGTGGGTGCCCCAAAGTGACAGGAATCTCCCACGCACGCAGAGGCAACTCGCACCTCCAGTCGCTCCTGGCACTGGAATTAAACTAAGTCCACTGTAATTGTCTCCTGTCTGACACAGTAAGAGCTCAGAGCATCTGTATGTGCCACATATCAGTGACCAACAGGATGTGCAACAGTCAGAAATAGTTGTGTGCCTCCGACAAACAGGAAATGGGGTCACTTGGACACCTTTACAGTGAGGATATGCAGGGATTCCACTGTGGAGGATTTGAAATTTCAACAAATAACAGACCCCCAAAAAGATACTATGGGTGGGCGAGGTGGACATCTCATATTAGCATATGTTTATTCGTAATAGTGTACGATACGATAGTATATTGTACGTTTGAAGCCAACACCACATAACTTTCAATGATACGGCCTCTGTAATTTATTCTTAAAGTTTGCCATAAAAACAGAAATAAAATAATATTTCCTTGTTTATTTCACTTTTTGATTGTTAGAAGTAATGAGGTCAAAGTTACTCAATGTTGCTACATCATAACATTCTCCATATGGATAGATGAGTTTATGCAATTCTTACTCTAATGCAAAATATTTAAGCCAAACACTCCATGGGGAGCTTCGTAAATACAGAAACTACATAAACAATTAAATATATGAACAACATCTGTATAATAGACCAAGGAACTGTTGAGTTGCTTTTAAGTGAAATTTATTCAAGTATTACTTTAAGAAAATGAAAGTAATGTATAAATTAAAGACACCCAAAAATCACAAAAAGATGCAATAGTCAAATCGTTTAGACACTATACAATCACAATTTAACATAAAACTAGAATAATAATAATACTGATAAATGGGACATAAATCAGCAGGCTAAAAAAGGAATTCCCTACGTATCTCCTCAGTGTCTGCTAGAAACTACTAAGGCATTATAAAGAGTCAAGATGACAATGGCAGAATGCCCCTGAGGAGTAACTGGAGCTGGCATGGCGTCATCGCGGGTTTAAGCCCAGCGTTTAACGAGCGATGTAGCCGATATGGGCGGCTGCGGCAGACAAAACACAACTCCAATCCATGTCCAGCTGCCATCACTGCTATCAACTACACACCATCCTCACATCTTTACATTGACAGACACTAAACATGAGCGTCCCGAGAGCCTGAAGAGAGAAGCCAAACAGGAATTTGTGGTTAAAAATACCACTGATGATGAGTCAGAATAAAAGATGAAGACTGCAGTATAAGGCAAGATTAACATTTTGTAACATCAGTAAGTCAATATCATCAGACTCAACATCTATTTATTAACTATACATGTTCACAACGAAATTATCTATAGCCTTTAATGTTGTTTCAGTACTTAAAACTTAGTCTAATACTAGAGCTGTAACAAGTAATTTGATCAATCTTGACTAATACATTTTTTAAGTCTGATTTACAAATTGAATCGTATTTTGAACCTTACGATATCTAAAAAAGTGGGAAGATTTTACAACTCAAATAAAACGACCATTTTGACAGAATGACAATTTGTGACCAAAAACTTTCAAACAACCAACATCAGTGTCTACTATTCTCAGTGAAGCTGTTTCTGTTTTGTTTTGTCCAAATAAAAAAAGAGTTAGAAAGGTTTACTGTAGCCCAGACATTATGTTTGTGTCCATAGTTGTTGAGAACGCAGTATGCTCACTGTATGTTGGCTCTAAAAGACTACAATGGAGAGCTTATAAACTCCTCACAGTGAAAAATTTGGAAGCAAGAAATACATATGGAAACTGTGTGGGATGAAATTGGGATACCTAGAAAAAGAGCTACCATTTGTAAAAAGAACAAAGTATATTTGATAAATTTTTACCAGTAGATGTGAAATTTGCTTACCTCACATGTACTGTATGTGCTCAGGGCAAAAACTGGCATTCTCTCCAAGTACAGTCATAAGGCTCATGAAAAACCTGATTTGATTTTCAGCCAAAATTCTCGAGGAGCCTGTTGCTTTCAGCCTGTTATCAACTACAAACTACACAAGTAACACAAGTATCGGCAGCGTAACAAGCCGTGTAACCGCGTAAAGCTCTTGCTGTCAAAGTTGTGCTGCTCTTTCCCTAATAAAGTTGTCCTTGAGAAGAATAAAATTGTTGTCTGTATTGGTCCATGTGGATGATACACATGCTGTGGTCCATCATAATGTGATCTCTTTTGGTGCTGGGTACTTGCACCGTGACTTTAGATAACTTATTATTTCAGAAGTTTCTTTTGACTCTTTATTTTGAAACGTTCCAGTCTATTGTTCCCGTAGTGAAAGAATGAGCCGAGCTTTCACAATAAAGAGTCCTGTGTCGACACCACATGAAAACGCCTTGTGAGCCAGCTCGGATTTCAAATTACAATTTCAGGTGAACTAGATCTTTTATTTCACCTTTTTGGCAAAATCCAGTGCAGCACCTCATTTGACAGGAGTCGACTTTTGCTTTTTTATAATGCAAATTGTGAAAGAGTGTAATGTCTTGAGCAATGTTATGGAATATGGATTTTTATTTATTTTCGGATTGTGTGTCCTTTTTATAACACAGACAAAAGACAGTCTGGGTAAGAGGACAACCAAATGTTTAAAGTCACTGCTAGAATCCAATTATTGTTGAATAAGATAGAAAGAGAGTAAATCGGTGGGGATAAAGGGAGATTATCCAAATAGAGGCTAATGATGTGGGACGAGGTCATGGATTTAAAGAATTGGAAACAAAAAAAAGGTGCATTCTTTGTGGAGAGAGTATTGTTCGGCGTGGTGCTAGGTTGATTACATTCTGCACCAGGCATTCATAGTTAGAGAGTGTGCTCTCGGCGTGCATGCTGTTTTCAATCTTACCCCCGTTCCAAAAGTCAGCATGGTTTGTGTATCTTAAACTTCTCACTTCTCCACTTCAGTTATTATGTTTGAGTCCATCATCCCAAATGTAATAAAGATAAAGTCAGTATGAAGCACTGGTAACACAACTGGTATTTCAACAGTGCAGTTTTAAACCCCTGTAGGGTCCTTTGTACGCACAGAATAGGTACTGTAAGTACACGCTCAACTTTCTCAGTCAAAAGCAATAAGAATAGAATTTTAAGATATTAATTCCCTATGAGACAGAAAGGCACAATGGCACAGGAATGTCTTGATTCCTTCCATTGCAACTTAGATATGTTAATTTTAAGGCAATATATTATATTTATTTTCTCCCCCCTCTATCAAACCACCCTGCAAACTGGAGCTGAAGCATTAATTCCTTATTTGTCTTTATTATTATAAGTATGCTAATAGAATGCTCCAGTAATCCAAGGTAATAATTGATAGATTGATAACTGTAATAATAATGCAGCCACTTTTCCAAAAACCCAAGTCAGTTATAATAAAAGATTTGGATTTTGTAAAACAAAAACAAAAAAAACACAAACGCCTTCACGTTGACTTCAAAGGGACGGATAAAAACCTATTTTTCATTTGCTTTACAAATAATTAAATGATTGAATCTTTGAGTTATTCTTTTAATTTCAAAAGCTCGTCATAGCATTGTGCATTTGTATTTCTTAACAATGCAATGTATTTGTATCATGATGATGGGTTGCCAATATATGAATAAATGATGTGTATGATGCATTTTTAAAACTGCTTTTGTAGTCACTTCTGTTAGTATTATTTATAGGGCCGTGTGTGTGTGTGTGTGTGTGTGTGTGTGTGTGTGTGTGTGTGTGTGTGTGTGTGTGTGTGTGTGTGTGTGTGTGTGTGTGTGTGTGTGTGTGTGTGTGTGTGTGTGTGTGTGTGTGTGTGCGTGTGCGTGTGCGTGTGTGTGTGTGTGTGCGTGTGCGCGTGCGCGTGCGCGTGCATGTGTGTACTGTAAGATATTGCATGGTTTTGAGTTTGAATCAAATCAAAAGTGTTGGCTTCATCCAACCCCTTTTTAAACCATGTACTTTGTATTTGTCTGTTATGATGGTGTATGTGAAATGCACTGAGTAGGCTCAAATAATTAAACAAAATCTATTTAATATCAAATGTTTTGTATCCTTAAAACAATGTCTAAGGGAATATCATATGACTCAGGCAAACAAAATAACCAAACACATCAACAGCCTCAAAAAAGCTGTGAATTGAAAGATGTCTTCCCTGTGGCAGCTCCAACCCTGAGTTAAATGAGTTGTTAAGACACATATTTTTGCAGAGCAGAAAAATCCATTAACTTCTCAGCAAGTGACCCAAGACTGGAGTAGATTTCACCAATTCGGAGAGAACAGTATCCCCTTACCCGCCGCAGTGCAAAAGTGCTGTGTTTGTACTATGGGAGCGTGAAAGACATCTAATGCTACCAGCTGAGGCCATTTTTTACAGAGTTAAATTCTAAGAGTGACTTAGCCTGGCCTTAGCCATCCGTACACTCCGTTAAATCATCATTTCACCGCATGTAACGTCTGGGTCTAGTCTCTGTGATAGCGATTACAATCGGTTAAATTTTGACCGACCATTCAAAGAGCGCAGGCAGGCAGGTGATGTAGTTAGTTGTGGGTGATGTCAAGAGTTTGCGTCGAACAGGCAGGTTGTAGTTTGGCAATGGTGAAAGATGCGATAGTAAAGTAATCCGGTCTGGTTCTATCAAGAAATTGAAGCCGGAGCAATAGGAATGTTTAGCAAATGTAATCTCTGGAAAAAATTGTGGCGCTACTCCCCACGGGTTCCGTTAGCGGCAAAGTAGATGGCTAGGCTAAATGCTAAATCGGGCGCACTACATACGTCACGGTAAACTCAGATCCAATCGTTTCAATCTGCAAAAGGAGTTAACTCCCTCCCACCTGTAAACGGAGCTCAATGGA